GGGGAGAAGAGGGAGGGTGATTCCGTCCCATGGGAGAGGGGTGGGAGATGTACCGGCCCCATCCCGAGGTGGGGAGGTAGAGAGAGTGTTTTGCGGCGGTGAACTGGCGGCCCCCGAGGCTTGGCCGTTTACGGAGGGAAAGTATGAGAGGAGCGTCGGTTGACCGCACCGACCTTGGGGTGGATGTGGTACAGCGAAATGAAAATGGAATTGAAGTGTTGGCGATCGGTTTAGAAACCGGGATGGGGCATTGCAGCTTTCATCAAAAGGAGCGATCTGTCACCATTTAGACTTCATGTCAGAACCCTGTACATCAGCCTGGCCAGGGCTTGGTATGAACTGGAAGCCTTGGACGTGACCAAGGGCAGATGGGTATCCTAACTTGACTTTAACTAAGGTTCGATATGGGATGTTTATAAGCAAATTAAAATTTGCCAATGGTCCTTTTTTTGTTGCAGACAGCAAGTAGGGCCCATGTATCTCCACTCTTAAGGGTGCACCTAAATTCTGGGCCTTTGTTTGGAAATTGCTTTTTTAAAGAAATATTTGCATTTTACAGACCTCAAGTTGAAAGTTAGGGATGGTGGCAGCAAAACACTTTCAAGCCAATAGCAAAGAAAACTTTCTGGGTGTGAACATCTTTAGCCTGAGAAGTTTGCTGTGCTAAATCTTGATCACTATGTTAACTTTAGATTTGTAAGACTGTCCTCTTAATTTCATGAATAATGGAATGTTTTTATGTAGCAGTTTTGAAGGCCTTGAATTAGCTGGTGATGTTCTCAAGGTACAAATGCAGATAAAGCATTTTTTTGTTATAAACATCAATGCCATTGATTATGCCCATGTCGTATTCCTTCCAAAGTGCATCACCTAATTCAACAGGGTTAAAATCCATTTGCCTTTGATCTGCCCAATCTGTGTACATCTTTCTGTAACCTAACACCTTCCTCCACTGTCAACTATTTGCCCCTCCCCCATGCACATACATACACCTCTACATCATTTATGAATATCTCAAACAATAAGGGACCCAATACTGATCCCTGTGGTACAACTCTGCACACCAGGCTTCAGTAACACAAACAGCCTTCTACCACCACCTTCTGTCTCCTGTCACTAAGCCAATTTTGGATCCATCTTGCCAAGCTAGCTTGCATTACATGAGCCTTTAACCTTTTTTTCAGTCAGTTTCCTATGTGGGACCTCTTCAAAGGCCGTGCTGAAATTCACATAAACTGAAACAACTGCTCTGCTCTCATCCAAGCACTTGGTCACCTCCTCAAAATACCATGAAATTTGTTAGGTATGACCTTCCCCTGCCAAAGCCATCCTGACCATTCCTGATTAAATCTTCCCTCTCCAAAATGGAGATTGATTTTTCTCCAGTAGTTTTTGTACCACTGATTTTAGACTGGAATAAATTTGCGAACACATGGGAACTGAAAATTATAACCCAAAAAGAAATAGAAAACTTGTACAAGTATGTTTAATTTAGATGATTTAAATGAAAAATATCCCAAGACTTACTGTAGAAATTTCTTTCAAAATTGAGAGTTTGACTGCTTTTTCTGTAAGGATCTCCAATAAAAGCAAGAGCAGCCCTTTGGGAAATCTGTGGTGACTCTTGATGTAGAAAAATTCTACAGGCTGGCAAGAATTAGTTCAGTTATTCACATGCTTTTGCTGTAAGGCTGGTTTCCTGAATCATTCGTTTACATGGCTAACTTGCTTATTAGCTGTACAGTACAAAGCTCCCAGTCTTCTTTGTTTCTCTCTTCTCTTTCACCCCCACCACGCCCCCACTCCCCCACTGCATTTGTTACCTTGATAATGTTGTAATGCATGGATATTGCTGTTAAAACCTTTTCAGCTCCATCACAGAAGGAAGCCATGCTATTTTATGTCTGACATGCTTCAGGACCTGTCAGTTGTTGTTCAATTGATGCACAAAACAGAATGCCCAGTTTTGCTGGTTTAAAGAAGGATAGACAAGTGAAATATTTAACTAATTTTCATATTTGCATATTGCTGTTTCTATATAATTGAAAATTTGTTGCATTAGGCTATTTGTGTATTTATCCTGAAGTGTATATGCTGAAAGATCTTATTGAGTCAGATTATTATTTTACCCAAGTCAACACAGTTGCTACCTGTCCCTTTTCTCTTTTAGATGGTTCTTAAACCTTTTCTGTGGCCACCCGTAATATTTCTTTAGCTGATAAAATTTAACTTAGTCTTGAGGACCCTTTTGGTTGTTTATATATTTAAATTGTGTTTTAAAATGGCTCCTCAGAGTGGAGAGTGCACTTTTCACTGCACTTTGTACTTGGGACAATAAATCTGAAATGTCATGCATTTGCATGACGGCCAGCAGCAGTCTGAACAGATTGGTCTTTTTTCTTTTAAAAAAGATGTCTACAAATGCAAGTTGTTAGTTTAATGGAAGTTTGTGCGGATGTGGATTCCTTCACCTAACCTCCAACCCTGAGCCACCTACCTGGCAGCTGTCTTTGATATGGAAAAGGTATCTTTTTTCCAGCAACTTGAATTGCCTTGACGGTTTAGACTCATAAGCTCAATGAATTGTTCATTACATAATTCCTTTTGAAACAGGAATATTTCAAGTGCAATTTAATGGACAAATTCTTATCACAGTAGCATTCTTATTTGCCAAGGGTTTTACATATTGTTCCTCACTACAGTTTACACAAATCTAGAAGTAAACCTCAGAATTTGGAAGTATTTTCAGAAGTGATAGAATCTGTTCTGTGCAAACTTGAAATTCAGTGATTCTTTTCACAGTATGTTGACTTAGATTTCATTTTGGTGATTTGATTGCCAATGAAAATGAACAAGTGTAAATCTTTTTCTTAGAATGGCCTGGACACAGGTCTGTCTGTCTATTAAACGTTTTTTCTTGATGTTGGAGTGTTTTCTTTAAGTGTGGCTATCATCTGCACTTTCCCTTTTGAATTTATCACTATAGATTTGGTTCCTATTGGCCTCTTCAGGCATGAAGGAAATGGATGTGTATTTTTTTACTGCCACTGGGAGACATTTCTTAACTCTGAAATTGCCTTCGCAAAACTCTCTTCTCCAACACACACTTCTGTCTCTTTTAACGTGCTTCTTAAAACTTGCAGTTGTCTGCCCCATTATTTCCTTGTGTGGGTCTGTCATATTTTACTTTGTGCCATTTATTAAGTGTTGTGCTCTCAGCCATTTAGGCCCTAAGCTTGGGAATTTCTTTTGACACTTCCACCATCCTGCTAATTTTGGGTGCTCTTTAAAACCCACCACTTTGATTTAAGCTTTAAGTCTCCTATTTCCTTCCTGGCCCAGTGACAATATTTTTGCTTTCCTGATGCAACTTAGGGCGTTTTCCTACATTAAGGCTTTTGTAACAATTCCAGCTATTGTTCCTGTATTTAATATTGGTGCAACCTAATAATAAGCAGAGGCCCATTGAGGCATTGCTTGGAAGCAGAAGCTTCCGATTTCACTCCAGTCTGTTCAGGCATTAACGGAAAATTGATTTTTTTTTCATCAAGTGTAAACTAATGCAAATTCTACCTCCATGTAATGGAGGTAATGTGTGAGAGACTTGTTTCTGTTTGCAATGAATTGATTATTTAGAGCAGCAGTGACGGTCAGCTGTAATATCGATCTTTTGGTAATACTTAATTTTGGGTGTGTAGCGCTGTTTTGTGGTTGAGGAAGCTAGGTTGACACGACTGGTTGAAATTTAGAACAGCTGATGAATGGATTGCTTTTGAGGGAATCTGACCTGATAGAACTGTGGATGTTGTGATTACGCACTCAACTCTAACTTGAGTTATTTTTTAAAGTGGTAATTTGAGCCCAGTTTAACTAAAATTTTGACTTGGAATGTAATTAAATTTCCTCATTGAGACAAACTCAACCAAGAAAATATTCTCAAACTGTAAAGCTGTTTGATTTGGGATGTTTTTGTAATTACATAAGAACATAAGAAATAGGAGCAGGAGTAGGCCCTCAAGCCTGCCCTGCCATTCAATAAGATCATGGCTGATCTTTTTGAGACTCAGCTCCACTTGCCCGCCCACACACCATAACCCTTAATTCCTTTACTGTTCAAAAACTTATCTAGCCTTGCCTTAAAAACATTCAGCAAGGTAGCTTCAACCGCTTCACTGGGCAGGGAATTCCACAGATTCTCAACCCTTTGGGTGAAGAAGTTCCTCCTGACCTCGGTCCTACATCTGCTTCCCTTTATTTTGAGGTGATGCCCCCTAGTCCTAGTTTCACCTGCTAGCAGAAATAACCTCCCTGCCTCCACTTTATCTATTCCCTTCATAATCTTATGTTTCTATAAGATCTTCCCTCATTCTTCTGAATTCCAATGAGTATAATCCCAGTCTACTCGCTCTCACCTCATAATCCAACCCTCTCAACTCTGGAATCAACTGAGTGAATTTCCTCTGCACCCCCTCCAGTGCTAGTATATCCCTTCAGTAAGGAGACCAAAACTGCACACTGTACTCCAGGTGTGGCCTCACCTATACAGTTGCAGCATAGCCTCCCTGTTTTTAAACTCCATCCATCTAGCAATGACAGACAAAATTCCATTTGCCTTTTTAATTACTTGCTGCACCTGCAATCTTTACTTTTAGCAACTCATGCACAAGGACACCCAAGTCCCTCTGCACAGCAGCATGCTGCAATTTTTTTACCATTTAAAACAGTCCATTTTGCTGTTATTCCTACCAAAATGGATGACCTCACACTAATGAACACTGTACTCCATCTGCCAGACTCACTTAGACTATCTGTATCCCTCTGTAGACTTTCAGTGTCTTCTGCACACTGCTCTAACGTGCTGTTAGTGTGATCTGCAAGTTATGACACATCACTTAGTCCCCAACTCCAAATCATCTAGTGGCACCGGTGATGCCACAATCATCATGGGGGGCGGCAGGGTCGGGGAATGTGGGAAGAGTTATTCTTCTACCCAAGGAGCATTAGTATTTGGGTTGCTGCATGGTAATTTCTTTAAGAAAGTCAGTTCTGTCTCTAACAATGTTTTCCAGGTACCTTGCTAAACATGGATTAGTATTGCATAAAAGGACCCTGGTTTACTCACTGTACCAATGCAAGCACTTTGAAAGTGCCACCAATTATTGCCCCTCCACTGCTCTTGCCTCAAAATTGCATGTCTTCTCCATGCACATATTTCTACAATTCCCTTTTGAGCTATAATTGGACTCTTTGCCAGAAGATGATGGAAGTATGTTCCAGATCATCCCTTGCTGTGTCTGTGTTTTTAAGTGATCTCATGGTACTTGACCAAAGAGCCAGTGGCACTTTGTACTTGTGTCCTGTTTGTTTCCAATGGCAGAAACATTGACAACTTCCATG